ATAAGCACTTGAAAATTAAGCAGATCAGAAGTTTTACGACTTTACTTACAAATGAATAAGTGAAAATTAAGGAGCTTTTTTCAAGTTTGAAAAACAGAATAATTCCCTAGCTCAGATGAATATCTTGGTGAACAATGAATTTTTTGAGAGTGTATAACTAATGTGCAGATGAAAGAGGAAGTTAATTTGATTTCACCTGTGCGTACCAATCTAGGCTACTTTTCTCTGCCAACAAAGAGGGACAAGATAACCTAGTTGCAATGATGCAGATTAGAGAAAATCAATCGCTTCTAATATTATGCAATTACTATAGCATATTATTAAGGTAAATAGGTTTGTCTCGTCAACTCGCAGAGAGTTTTTGAAGCGGGCATAATATTATTTGATAATAGAGTTACACTTCTTAATCTGACAGCAGTGTTCATATTTAGAAATGCGATGGTGTTCCACATAGAGTCGGATTCTACCGCAAATGCTTTTTTTGCGTTTTTATCCGCATAACAATGGTTATCACAGTTTTGTCCTCAGTCCCCTTTGCAAACGCGAAGACTAGCATTCTCTATGTCTAGTGGTAACGGCTAGCTTTTATTTATAGAGAGTTTTTCCAGGGAATTCAAATAAGAATAATTCAATGCAGAACATCTATGAAAGCCAGCTTCAGATTTGAGTTATTTTAATGATTTAAGCTGCTGTCGGCGTATTATATGACGAGATGATTCCCTCTAAAGCTCATTGCAATGATAAAATATGGGTATGCTGATTGGGATTGTATACGCACAGAGGAGAACTTTCTCGAATAAAATCGGGTCAGAAGGCTTCTATTTGCCGATGATATCATAGTTAGAAACCTTGTCGGAGATTTCCACCAATTCACAAATTTACTATTTTCGGTTAGAAATTCAAAACGAGAAGGTCCTACATTCTCGAGTTATTTTTAAGAGAGTTAGAAAATAGGTAGGAGGTGGAAGAAATTTTAACATATCTTTTTGAAGTCTTATCTGAAATTTTTTTGTGAAGACGAAACGACGAACTTCCTTAAATCTAAATGGATTTTTATCACCTCTCCTTCGTTTAAAAGAGCACATCAATATTACTATCACAGCTACCTCGAACTCTTAATGCCAAAAAAGCTACCATATCAAACCTAGTGTACCTTTAACTTGTTGCTTGACTATCATTTCATCACACTTCGTGATCAATCAAGTGGAGCGAAAAAGAAAAGAAACGAGTCGACTAAACACCTCAGTTTGAAAAGTGTTTGAAATTATAATGAATAAAAAAAAATTTTTTTGAATAATTGTATGCCTCCAAAACATAAGGCGCTCAGAGTTCGTAATTTTAAAAAAAAACGGTAAGATTTTAGTTTTACCCCTGATTCGGCCCTTTATGACAGAATCTGCATCATCCAAAAATGAA